TCCTTAAAATATCAGTAGACTGAAGCACTTATCACCGTCAGACAGGAACCTTTAGATCTGGCTGTAATGAAAGTTTTCCACCAAAAAAACGTTCTTAATTAAGTTAAAAAAAAACATGAAAGCAGTACCTTAAATGCAGATAGTAATCACCACCCAAATTTATAATTTTCTGCCAACGTTTTTGATAGTTTTTGATAGTTAGATGGTGGAACGGATTAAACTTGAGATTATTAGGATCCACTGTAAATCCACTTTTTATCACATGTGGTGATCCGGTCCAGAATTTTTCCTGGTGTTGATATTTGAGAAGATTAATACCGCCCTAAACACTTCTGTCCTTATCTACTTGAGTCAGCTTGTGCGTCACCCAGCGATTGTGTTTGTACATCAAGTTTATGTGATGGATAGCACAGCTAATAGACATGGCACTGACGCCAAACTCCTTAGAAAGCTCTCAAGTGGTTGCATAGTGATCTTATGCAAGTTCTCACAGGAATGCCTCATCAACATCAGTAGGCTGGTCAGAGCGCTCTGCTTCTTGAGTGTCATAGTCCTCCTTTTTGAACTTTCGGTACCAAACTTTCACAGTGTCATATTGTACAACCTTAGTACCTAAAGCTGTAGTTTGGTGACATTTTATAGCATTTTATTCTTTTTGCAAAAGAACTGGAAGTAAATGGTAGTTCTAATCTGGTAGCTTGATGGTTTCATTTCAGACACCCTGTACCTGAAACGATAATGATATTTTTGTACAAATTTCACAACACAGTGTTCTAAAGCAAGTCTCTTTTTGTCAAATGAAAAAAAAAAAAAAAATCATTTGACAAACTGTGATTAAATATCCCAGCGTAAACTGTTTGCACAGACGATATCTGTGGTGGCAGGAAACTTTAGTTAAAACCCAATAAATCAATGTCTTCTTTAATGTCAGTAAAATAGAGCACTTAATAATCACACAATATCAATTATAAATCAGTCTGAGTAATCCCACTGTTCAATCAGTCTTTTCCACCTTGCAAATTATTGAGATCCTAATGGCAAGCTATATCTCTTATCATATTCACACCAGCCCCCGGCCATTTTTTCAACTTTGCCAGACTCTGTTTGAACCACCTCACTTAACCTCTTCACTCTTTCTCTCTCTCTCTCTCTTTTTTTTTTTTTTTTTTTGTCTTTCGACAATTTTTTCACTGTTTAACATTTACCTAATTATTAATTAAAACCATACTATAACACAACCACACCTTATATCTTTTTCATTTGTCAAAGTCTAACCACAGTTTTTTCAGACCAACTATAAAAATGCAGCTGTTAAAAATTACACACCATATTTCCTTACACTGCACTAAGAAAGGTGACTAATTTTTTTAGACACTCAGCACAACGTGAAACCTGTGAAATGTGTTTAAAAAAATAGATCTAGTAGACAGTTTCTGTACATTTTGATTCCTGATTGGTCTAGGAGCCATTTAAACAATAAAATGTCACCATGTTAAATAAAGGGAATTTTTTTTTTATCAAAGTCTTCCATATATCTTGCCTTCAACAAGGAATTTGTTTACCATATTTTTCAGCTTCCTTTATTTTAGCTTCAAATTTTTTTGACGCTTTACATGCAAGGAAGCCTTTTTTGATGCAAATGAGTGATTTTTCCCCAAAATAAAAAATTATTTGTGCATTAAGGCAAGCAAATGTGTTCTCTTTCTGTTATACGGACACAGAAAGCAATGTGATTTTTTATTCACAATAATTTTGTTTATTGTTGCCTTTCTCTGGGAGCTGTATACACAGGCTTAGTATTATAATCTGAGTCTGGGGATACAAAGTACACTCATGTCCATAAATTAAGGATAATTCGGAGTCACGTGGAAATCGAACCTAAATAAATATTCACTGTAACTCCTACACACATCTTCAAGAATCATAAGCAAATTCGGACGGAACAGATGACACGATGGTACGTCACAATGACGAGAGTGCAGAGAGTGGATATACAAGGAATACGGGCAAAAGTAAAATGTGCAGGCACTTTATAAGCATTCAGTGCAATCACCAAATGTTAGACACAAAGGACGCATTGGAGCTTTTTTACGTGGTAGAATTATCGGTGTCTGAATGTGGACTTACCCATTTGGAGTATCAGACGAACTGGAATTGCCAGAGAATATCTCCGGCTTTGGCAACGTTCCAAGATGATGGTAATGTGAGTAGAGAACAGAAGGTCGTCCAGAGTTACAACGCGAATGAGGACCGTTTGGCAGTTACTGCCAACAACGGCGGGCACAGCTCAGACGTATCGTCAGCTCTCTTCAGCCATCGCAGAAATTCAAGGCAGCCGGACAGACTCGGGCAGATTGTTAATTGTAGACCTGTCGGATGGTTCCACTTAGGCACTCATGTGCTGCGGTTAGCTGAAGATGAGCAGCATTGTGGACACCGCAACAGTGGGCGTGGTGATGTTTTCCGCGGTCCCAGTTTAGCTGCAGTCTGATTCCGAGACTTTATATGGAACTCCAGGTACCTTTACAAGAAACCATTGCGACACCGTACGGGGGAGGAGGCTCTTTGGGGGGAGAATTATTTGGGTTCCAAACTACCTTCGTTCAATTGGACCTGACAAGCCAAATCTATCGGGATATTTGGACAAAGACATTTGTTTCGGGCGCATGGCACACAATTGTTATGGATGACAACGTCATCCTCACGTGAAACATCGTAAGCGAACGCCTCAATCGGAGGATACACCCGTACAGACGGCAGCATTCTCACCGATGAACCAGTAGACATGTGGGAACATGCTTGGCCGACGGTGCGCCCGTCAACTCCTTCTACATGCTACCGGAACGGGAGAGATGCTTTTTGAGTGTGTAATATCCCCAAATCGATGATAATTTGATATCAGATGCTAGGCGTGTAGGAGTTTGATGTTGGAGACAACAGGTATTAACAATCATACAACCAGGTAATATGGTTTTTTGGTTTTTTTTTTTTTTTTTTTTGTAATTGCTCAGGGAGAAAAAATGTAATTTTTAATAATATCAAAACTATAGCATCTGTTTTTGCCTTACTTTTGTTTTAAAAAGCTTCAAATAGTCAATTTGTTTGCTTCTAACTCTCCCTTTGCCTGATTTTGCATTATCCTTAATCTATGAACATGAGGCCAGTTTCTAGAAAAATATAGATTCTTAAGAAAGGCACTTGCAGAGAATTTTTGGGTTTTAAAAATAGCAAGTATGGTATCAACTGGAAAAAGAAAATTCTTTTAGTTACTACAGAATTTCTATTTACTACTTTTTATCAGCTAGTAGTAATGTTATCAGTCCAATTTCACTTGCGGAACATGTTGGGATCATTAGCGTTGGGATTCTATTTGGGGAAAATCGTTTTGCTGAGTTTTTTGTAAATACCATTATTTAATTTATTTTCTTTAAGAGCATAAAAATTGCTTTGAAAGTTAATTTACTGCTTTTTCGCATAAAATACATTAATGCGTTTTTAGAAAGAACTTTTTTACTTTTCCAAAAAATTTCCCTTCCAGTTATCTTTTTCTCCCCCTACATTTTCTGCATTATACTCACATTTTCTTTAAATGTATTTTAAAGCATTATAATTTTGTATTCAATAAATCTTGATTAAATTATTCTTAAGGAATGAATGTCTTTTCATTATTTCAATCAATCAAAATTTAGTGTAAAAAATTAGAAAAGAAGAGAGTAAACACAACTAAGAGAAAGACCAATATTCTGTCTGTCTTAATCCACAAAGCTGTTGATCCCAAAGGATGTGGATTATTGAATTCTGCTGGATTTGTTAATAAATTATATTTTTTTCCCTCTCGTAATGTCTATAAAGTGAGTTATTTTATTATTTTTTTCATTGCATTCTTTGTTATGTAATTATTTGTAGAAGTATTCTCCCCACTTTTCGTTTATGCATTTATTATGTTTATATTAAATCATTCCAATGTGATTTTAGATTCTTCAGATGCCCAGCTTTTGCGGCACATTTCTCTTACTGGCCCGCCTAGTCCAGGAAGTGCTTCTCTCCCAAATCAAGAACGTATATTTCAGCTTTTCAGTGAAGCTATGAGTGATTGCCAACAACACACTAGATTAGCAGATAGTATGATGGAAGAAGATCATGATTTGATAACACAAGTATAATTCCATTATTAGCTAGATAATAATTTTTTTATATTTTTATAAAAATTTATTTGAATTAAGAATTTTTTTTAATTGTGAAAATTGCATGTTTCTTTAGAAACTTTTTTCTGAGTGAGTTTTTGTATATCAAGAACAATATATAAGGACTGAAACTTCAGAAGTAGCAGTTGTTTATTTACTGCTGGTACAAAAGAGCTACCTCAGCAAAACTTTTAAATATTTTTAGATTAAATCGCACACAACCTTTGGCTGGCAGTGCGAAAGTCTTATTTGTAGCAGTGTCTTTTTTGTTGATTGTTCAGTTGGAGTGATGTGATGTTTGGAAACTAATGTTACAGAGTGGTTCTTTCATCTTAGGAATCAATTCTTAATAACAGCAGTTTTATTTAAAAAAGATGTTGGATAATAATGTGTTTCTACTGTACCAAGAGCAGAAATAAGCATAAATAGCACTACATGTATCTAAGTGTTGTCCTGCAAAATATTAGGATTTGGCAAGAAGTACACACTTTCTTTTACAACGCATGTTATATTTTAGAAATGAACAGTTGCAAGTTCTTATAATGAACTGTAGTATTGCACATTGGTAGTCCTTCTTTGTGGTATGTGTTAAGATAGCACATCACAGCTGTACCCAAAATTGCAGCCATTCATATTTCTGGAATGGGAGTTAGATTTTCATGGTGAACTTTAGTGATGCCACTCATTCAAATAGCATTAAAGCCCTTTCTTAGGTTTCATGTGAGTTTCATCAGCATTGTAACATAGCTGTTTTTATTTTACTGTCAAATGATGTCAAACCCATTTTAAATTAATTTTCTGATGTCCAGCTCTTCTATCAGAATATGGGACAATCTCTTGTGATAACTCAAATATCTTGGTCTCGATCTGTTTCAAGCAGTGGGCCAGAAGCTTGCATTTTCTCTTCACTGAGTCTGCAACAGGCGGTTTATCTGTCATTCTTTGGTGTTCCTTATTGAAGGATTTTATGTACTGTGCTACTGTTCTGTGTAAAACAGTGCTTGCTTATTGCTCTGCATAAGACAGTGCTTGTACATCTATGGATATCTTTAATGTTATCCAATTCTACTATTCTTGTGATCACTGCAGTTAACCCGTTATGGGCATGTCATATATGCATCAGCAGCAAACATTACCTCACAGCTGGGTGTGTCATATTTGAATCACCATTTAATTCACTCTATGACCGGGCGTACCACATTTGACTTTTTAGATAGAACATTTAATTACTAATTTTTATGCCGTGTTGAGCTGTAGTTGTATAGTGAAATATATCGAAAGTTTCACTTTTCCTACGCAAGGTTTTTATTTTGGTATTTCGTTTCGGAATGAAAGTGAGATTCGTGGGTGGATGTTGAGCAGTGTAATGTCTCTTTAACTGCGTCATTGATATAAACAAATGCACATGTTCTCGCTGCATTGAGGTACCTGTTATTTTTATTTTCGCGATACAGTGGGATAGATGTTCTATAAATGGAGTTATTTTTTATTACTCTTAGAATTTTTCCGGTATTGAGATAAATATTGTATATCGTCAGCGAAACGTATTTTTTTAAATGGCAAACGAAAGAAGTATCTGAACGTAGAATATACACAAATGCTAATTCGTTTGTGTTAAGTAATGTAATGCCTTTTACTGCGTCATTTTATATAAACAAACGAACATGTTCTCGATGGTCTGAAATACATTTTAAATTTAATTTAATAATTTTCTTATTTTTATTTTATATTTTAATCCCGTTATAGTGGAGAGCTGTTCTATCATTAGCGACTTTTTATTACTCTTTGAGTTTCGCATGACGAATATTTTTCGATTCCAAGGTTTTTTTTTTTTTAAGCAAACAAAGCACTATATGACGTAGAATACAAATCAAATGTAAAGAGTCAAATTTGCAGAGTAAAACTAGCAGCAGATATTCTCCCCGTGACGTGCATGTGGGCTTCGTAACCCGTACCCGGGCTTTACGTAGTTTATGAATATCAAAACTGTCTCTTTTTTGAAATATTGCTTACTTTTTTGTTTGCACGTTGAATTTATGAAGACGTATATTTTTTGATTTTAATTATGTTTTTTTAAATAAAATCTGCGATTGATAGATTTTTCCATATATTATTGTGGGATAAGGGGAAAAATTATATATCTACAATGAATATTTTATAAAATTTTTAAGGAAAGTATAATAATAAAGTTTTAAAATTAATTCTGACAACTACCTGAATGTTCTCATAATGTACCAAAAATTGGAGCAATTGGATGAAAAATTTAATTTATGCGAATTTTTTTCCAAAGTAAGGCTTAGCAGCGCGAATTGCCCATCCCCACAAGACTACACATCCGGTTAACGTACTGTCCCAAGACGACGCTTCAGTAACAGAGATGCCCGTCGTGAACGGGTTAAACAGTTTTAGATTACCAGCTCACATAAGATTCTATGAAGCACTAGAAAGGAGAATCAATTTCCAACCCCCTTCTTTTTTGTTTAGTACAAATTCAAAGCACTTGTTATGTTTCACGGGCAAATGCATAGCAATATCGTCATTATTAAAACTCCATTATTAAACCTAGTTTATGTATATATTAAGAAGTATTGTTTTAGTGTAAATAAACTATATTGCATTATAACTTCAAAAGGATTTTGTCTGACTTGAAAATCTTCTTGATTTGTAAATATTAGTTTTGTGTCAAAATGCATACTGTGTTTATACACTGCTGGCCACCCAAATTGCAACACCAAGAAAGACAAGAGATATCACAACAAAATTTATTTAGTAGATAACATGTGGACCAAGTATCAAATGATTAAATTTATTGTCTTCTGTTGAATGTGGTTCCTTCCAGAATAGTAGCCAGAGCCACCATTGTTGGAGTCACCTGCCATACGCTCAGAAATCAAAAGAGATTGGATATGTTCTTGGGGTACAGCAGCCCAAGCACTTCCATGTGTTGCCAAAGTTGATCTGGTGTGGCAGCTGGGGAGTAATCTGGTCAATCATTCAGCAACCATGGCCACATGTTTTCTATTGGCAAAAGATCAGAACGGCTGGCGGTAAGCAATTATCGGTGATTGATGAAGAAACTTGGACAATGCTGCCACATGTGGTTGGGCATTATCTTTGAATATGGCTGTGGGCAAGCCCGAAGGTAAGGAGGAAACTGGCTCCAACACCTCGGGAGAGTAGCGCTGGCTGTTTAAGTATCGGCAATGCGTATTAGAGGTGCAAGGTGATATCCCATACGGCTACCAATTGGCGGTGCCATAACCAGTTGTTCACATCCTTTCTCGGTGTTCCAGACTCGAATCCGACCATTGTTGTTGAGACATAAGTGGGATCGTCGTAAAGACAATTTCATTCCATTCTGCCGTCCACGCCTTCTTTCATCGCACCTTGACGGTGGAGACGTCTGTGGGTCTGTGTCGGGAGGCGAACAATGGACACTTGTGGACGCCACTCTGCTGTAAAGGTGTCGAATGACGCGCCACTGGATGATGTTACAGATGAAGGTGCTGTGCTATGGTTCGTGATGTGACTGCCATGCGCAATGTACCTGTCATCATGTGAAGTGGGCACTGAGGTGGAAGCAATCGAACACACGGCGTTGTACCCTCCTGCATCCAACGGTCACATATTCGATTACAGTTGTTTGGTTTCGGCCAACACGATACCGATTCCCTGAAAGATATCCACACTCTCAGTAGGCCATATCCTTCCGTGTGAACTCGTTATACTTAATCAAACATGATCACTGTTTACTACGAGCAACTAGACTCCAACTACTACGGATTCTCCTAGTTTCTACGGAAATTCATGAAAATTACGAAAAGTACGAAAAAACTACGGATTTTACAGAAAGAGGGAAACCAGTACGCAAAACGGAACCAACTAATTCTCCGATATTGGCTGAATACTCGTGTTATCAATATCCGTGTGAGTGCGTTCCTAGTTTTGAGAATTAGCCAATCGTAGATCAGTAAACTCCAACCGTTAACGACTTATCAATAGTTCCACCCAATTGTCTTTCTCCCAGGTTCCTCGCGTGTTTAGGCTGCATTCGGCTGCATTGTGTAGTTTCGGCGAGAGCTTAGCGTGTTCTTGTGAACTGTGAATCAGTGAAAGATTTTTAATCATAATGTGCCTCGAACGAAGAGCCAAAATATCAAAGCAGAAGTTTAAAGATTCATTTCTTCAGAATTTCCATGCATAAGCGTCCGAATTCTGTGAATCACGCACACTGAGTGTATGCAACAAAGACTTCTCAGTTGCTCATGGCGGAAAGCGACTGTACGGCACTGTTTTCTCAAAAGCATATAGAACTTGGCACCGTAAAATCTAAAGAAATAACAAATTTCTTAAGAAAAGATGATGAAACAGATCCTATAAAGCCGAATGCTATTTTGTTCGTTTTTTAATTGAACATAATCTACCGCTTTCTGTTTGGATCATTCCAAAGAGCTTTTCAAGCAATGTTTCCGGATTCTGCCATAGCAAAAAAATTTAGCTGCGGTCATACAAAACTGCTGCTATTGTGAAAACGCTTGCAGAAAATACTGTTGTGATATTTAAAATCAGTGTGCGTACATCATTTTCTCTAAGTACTGATGGAAGTAATGATAACAATGATAACAAACTTACTCATTGGTTATAACATACTACAGTAAAGAAAGGGAGTGATAATACTTCATTGATTTCTATTTTAGAATGCACGAATAATACAGGAGAAGGTATTTTTAATTGTATAAATGAAAACTTAAAAACCAAAGGTTTAGAATGGAAAATTGCTTATCATTTTCTTCAGAAATGCTATATATGATGGAAAGTTTAAAGGTGTAGCATCATTTATCAAATGCATCAACAAGTATAATCCCGAGGGTGTCCGTGCCACCTCTGCATATAGCTGCAAAAAAGCTACTGAAAAATTAATTGGCCAAATTGAAATGTTATAATATATATTTTTACTTGGAGAAAAGTTCGAA